AACCGGTTTTCGCATTGTGCCATCTTCAGTGTCATTTTTCGTTCTCCTTTGAATTCAACCCATGGGGGTATGTGGTATTTAGTTGCATACAGAGAACCTTCACATGTGGGACATATGTACGTCAGGGACGAGAGTAACGCAAGACTCTCGAGGCAGCTGAAACTCTTCCTCTGCACTGGGTGCTGGCTGAATTCCGATGATAGCATTCATGTGGCGAGCGTGTAAGAGCATACAATTTTTCAAGAGTTTAGGATAAATATAGGTGGTTCCAGTTACGTGCACCCAGCTGGCGACATTCACAGGACGGGAGTTGGTGGTGAGATTCCCGGTGAATGCCGTTTATTGCCTGTCTATAGTGTCGGGTCCAGCTGTTGTAGTGCGTAGTTCTGGACATCGTACTGACCTACCTGGTCGGGGTTTCTGCAAAAAAACAAGTGCCAACGTTTCTTTGCCTTCAGGTCATCAATTCCGTTGGCGAGGATGCTTTGGAATATAAAAATTAAACAGAAGCGGGTGAAGGGCGCAACCCTATGGGACCCATTGCTAAATTTTCCGGTGTGAAAGCTGCTAGGTCTGTTCTCGCACAGGGGCGGTTGCGGTTAAGGACACAAGTTATCTGAGTGTTCGTGCAGTTAAGTGAGGTGGTGGTGCGATGCACTTTGCGGAAGCCAGGCAGTATGTGAAGTGCGGGAAGAACAAGGCTTATAGTGTTTTCGCTACGGCGGAGAGGAGTGATGTCGGGCGATAAGACTCCGGCTTAAACAGTGGCACCACCGTTCCCGACTTCTACACTTCGAGAATGATAAGAGTGCCATAAACAGGTTGAGGGCCTTGGCTAAGTAATCTAAGTAATACTACAATTTACTAGACTACAAAACTGACCACATATTTTTTCCCAAAGATTTTGATTAAAAAGTTTGAATTTTTGGTGACTGCAGAAATTTTATATTTTCTGTACAATGTTCGAAATGTTAATTTATATGGTGTTTATAAACAAAAAATAATAATAAACATTAAATAAGCACTAGTAATTTTTCGGAATAAACCAAACCGCTTTCAATTCTCATATATCATTTAATTTTTTTTTATTTAACCCGTTTTTAATACTAAAGATTTTTTATTTATCCCCATTGCATTTTCTGGCGGCTTTTGGCGGACCTTTAAAATAAAGTTAAAATGGTTAAATAAATAATTGGGTATTTTCTAAAAAGAATCAGTTTTCCGATCGAAAAATTTTACGGAAATTTGTGTTTTTCCCCATATAAAATACATGTAAAACTTTGAGCGCTTTGGGCGGCCTCGATAAATATTTTTTGATTTCAAAATAAAAAAATAATGGTATATATGGGCCATTCCATTGTGACTGGTGAATTATAACTATTTCTCGGGAATTTATTAAACAGCGGAAGGTAGATAAATAACTAATAAAATAACTATAAAATTATTTTTAAAATAGATACCAAACGGTTTCTTAGTTCTACGTAACCCCCTTTTACATGGAATGACCCATATGTTGTTGTTGTTGTTGTAGCGGCTACAACAACCCCGCCCAGATCGGTTGGTATCTCAGTCGTTGTCGTCAAGTTCCACTAACGGCAATCCTAGGAAGCGTGCAGCTTATGTGGGATTTGTCCACAGGGACAAGGCCGTTAGGGTTGCAGGGTTTTCCGGGCATGCGAAGAGATGTTTCGAGTCATGTGGGGTCTCTCCGCATGCCGGACACTCATTCGGCACATCCTCATTCAACCTACTCAAGTAGGAGTTCAACCTGCTGCAGTAGCCGGAGCGAAGTNTGCAGAGCATTTGCGCCTCGCCGTGCAGGTGGTGTTCAGGCGACATCAAGAGGCATCCCGTCGCTGTCC